CCCTTAAACTCAGCGTTGTTGAAGTGTAGTAACTTCTATGCCCTGTTTCTAAAACACAGATGGATGACTTGTGGTCCTACAGATGTTGTTGTCTCCTCTCATCCTTCTCTATTGGCTATGATGGCTAGGACTCATATGTACTGCAATTTGAGACACCTCCAATCTGCCTTCTTAAAAGACCATCCACTGACATATTAAAATAGTGAGAAAATTATTGTTCTTTTCTACATAAGTAGAGGAATCGCCTCTTTTTGTAATCATGAACATACCCAGATATCCAACCAACTGGAGTTCATTTGGCCTGCCACCAAAGACCTTTGGGTTCCACCCAGTGGAATGACTAAGAAAACTTGCAAATGCAGCAGGGATGATTTATTTTGATGTCAATACAAGAATACACATTGCTAGCTAAAGAAGGGCGCAAGGCCATTGCAGCCAGTGCCTAAAGTCATCGAATGGCACCAGTGAGTTAAAAAAGAAAAAAGAAAAGGAAGATCCCATTCTCAAGCTGTCAAAGCTCATTCATAATCCCTACATGCTTCTAATGACCCTTTGGTTTATGTAAAAGCAATAAATGCTAATTGCCACAACAGTGCCCCTCGGTAAGGCCATAACTAGTTTTAACATACTGCTGTTTGACTATTTAGTTTTGCGCTGGTTCACTGCTTCTGATTCCTTTGTTTTTTATAGCTTCTAATTTGTTCTGCATTACTCCCACATTAGAAATGCATTTTGAGCCTATATGTCATGGAATTTTATTGCATATTGTATATTCTTAAATATCGCATACAATATACAATAACAGTGTTGCAGAAAAATTGTAAGATTGTATATAATATAACATTGTGTACAGCATGATGGATTGACTCCATAAAGGAAGCCACAGCCTTGGGTTTACAAGAGCTGAATACATAGTGCTGTTGAGAACAAGTCATCTTGGAGATGACTCATTTGTATGGCCATTGTAAGTTAGAGGCAACTTGGCAGGATTTAACTATTATAACAGTTGTATAGTATCATATATCCTATTATATTGTATATTATGAATTAAATCCAATTAAGGAAAAGTGCATGCATACTGTAAGGACAATTGAATATGCAGTCTTTCCCTTCTGCTAGTTGACCTTCATGTGACTGGGCAAGCAATTGATTGTTCCACTGAAGGACCAAGAATATACCTGTGCAATTGTTCTTAGATGATCTTATAAGGCAGGCAATAGGATTCTTTATTCTTCATTAATGTTATGCCGTATTAATGTGATGGTGAGCTGTAATTTTAGTTCTGTGTATCATAGCATAGGCATCCTTCAGTCTCGAGAGACTATGGTAACATGCTTTGAATCGAGGAGTGTCCTCTCCAGAGCAATTGTATAGTATCATATACCCTATTATATTGCATATTATGAATTAAATCCAGTTAAGGAAAACTGCATGCATAAGGACAATTGAATATGCAGTCTTTCCCTTCTGCTAGTTGACCTTCATGTGACTGGG